GCTGAAATTGAACATAAGAGACTAGACTAATATCACTCTGAACAGTGAATAATAGTATTATTAGATTTTATATCATAATGCTACAGAATTAACATTGGGTTTCTTAGTGTCTCTTCTTCTTCAGAGTATTTGTTCATTACATCGTGCATTATATAATCTGTTCCTGTAAACAGTTTAGAAATTCTCCCCATGTGTGAATCTCTACATACATATCTATCCTTTCTATATTATAGGGAAAAACAGATCATAGTAAGACAACAAAACAAATTCCTAGAAAAACATGAAATGAAAAAGACACATAAGACCACAATATTAGGTGATCTACAGTAGTTACTATGCTTTCTCTTATTTTCAATAGAATTGTCTACATCATCAGAGATAATATAATTGAACATAGCATTACATAGCTATTTTAATAAAAACACAACTTTGGAGACATTGTAGGACTTTGAAAGCAGTCCTATTGGAATGGGTATCTTTTACATCTTGTCATCTTCAGAGTAGCTGCCTCTACTCTTAAGACTTGATACTATCAAGCATACCAAATTCAAGTAAAAACAGTCAAGGCAAAACAGCGGTCTAACATGGGCAGCTTCAAAAAAGATCAGTCATAGTAAGACAATATAAGTAATACTGGGTTTTCAGTTTAAGTTAATAGGAAATTAAGGATAGTTAACGTGGTATAACCTGCTATTTTTGGGATAGCTGTCTGTGCTCTCAAATCTAATGAGTAGACAGACAGAAACAAAATAAAATCAAACTAAACAGAGCGGTAAGACTACTGTGACTTTTAAATCCTGATACACTACTAACAATGTCCTCTGCCTTCCTTTTTTAGGCAATTTCTCACCTTTCCCCTTCTCAGGATGTTTTGTATATTTTGGGGCTCTCTAGCTCCTTTAGCTTTTAGATTAGGGAGTCAACCCGTTATCTGAGTGTTGCTGAACCTTTTTACTCCTGAGCTTGATCATGAGCTGTACTCCTTTACTTACTAAAGCCACAAGGTTTTCCCTCCTTCCTGTGCTGTGTAGTTCTACACTGCACAAAAGTGTCATAACTTTCCAATCCATCTGCAGTTACTGGATGAGTTTTCCCTATTTCTCTCTGGTTCCCTGTCACATAGAGCATCGTTTTCTCATCTTTGTCTTTCAGTTTATTAACCCTCTTTCAGGTTGAGCATATTTCCTATTCAGAGCATCTCGATGGTTCCTGCCTCCTAACCTACTCTGCCTGTGTTTCTTCTTGTTAGTGTATCTACCTATGTTAAAAATTATAGCCCACCTTCTCTGCCTCATCTCTGCTATTCTACTTTTCCGCTCTTATTTGTCCACTTTAATACTTCATTCCACTGTCTGCCCTGTTCATTGAGGCCTCTCTGCCACTGTTGCTGGAATCCTGGTATTTTTTTTTCTCTCTCTCTATGGAATGTCCATGAGTATTTTTTGTAGGGTTGGATTGGTGGCCATGAACTCCCACAGTTCCTCCTTGTCTTGGAAATATCTTATTTCTCCATTAATTTTGAGAGAGAATTTTTCTGGATATATCAATCTGGGTTGGAGGTTATTTTCTTTCAGGGCTTGGACTATTTCCCACCAGGCTCTTCAGGATTTGAGAGTTTGTGTTGATAATTCTGTCATTATTTTGATAATTTTTCCATTGTAGGTACTTTGCTTCTTTTCTCTGGCTGCTTTTAATATTCTGTTCTTGTAGTGGATTTCTGGGATCCTGATTATCATATGTCTGAGTGTAGTTCTGTTTTGGTTGTAGGTGGCTGGGGTTCTGTAAGCCTCATTTATCTGGATATCATTTCTTTTTCCTATGCTTGGGAAGTTTTCCTTAATTATTTCTGTGAATAGTCTTTGTAATTCATGTGTGGTTACTCCTGCTTCTTCGCTCAGGTTTTTTATTCTTAAGTTATAAATCCTCTTTTCATCTTCTAGCCTTTGAATTGTTTCTTCCTGGTTCCTCATTATTTTTTCTTTCACAATCACACATTATAAATCTCTCTTCAAGTTTCACAAGGCTAACTTTAGTTTCTGTCAAGGCATTTTGCCAACTTTCAATGGAGTTTTTAGTTTCCTGATAATCTCTTTTGGATCTGTTTCATGTATTCTAGGTTTTGTTTATATTCATCATCAAAGGTTTCTCTTCCATTTCTTGGTTCTTCCGTTCTTCCATCTGTGTTTTCTTGGGAAGGGCTCAGCATTTCTTTAATTAATCTTTTTTTTTTTTTTTTGAGATGGGGTCTTGCTATGCAGTTCAGGCTGGCCTTGAGCTCACTTTGTAGCCCAGGCTGGTCTCAAACTCCCAACGATCCTCCCACTTCAGCCTCCCGAGTGCCAGGATTACAGGCGCCCGGCTTTTAATCAATCTTCTTATATTTTGCCTCACTTGGATTAGAATTTCAGTTTTAAGTTCATCCTTGAGGTCACGAAGGTATTTCTTTATATCTGCTGATGTTGTGGCTAATATTGCATGATTGCTGCACTGGCTCTCTTCTGTTTTTACCTCTCCTGGGCTTATTTTCCCAGGGTCAGTGGCTGGAGGTTTTTTTTTTACTTCTATCTCTTGTCATGTTTCTGGTGTCTTTCAGACAGATGTGTTGTGGAGGTCCCTGGCTCTCTCTGTATTGCCTATGGTCTTTCTGAAGTGTGCTGGCTGGGGTTTTGCTGCCCTCTCCAATTTGCTGTTATCTGAGATGCACACAGGGACAATGCAGGCTAACCTCTAGACTCTAAGCCAGTCAACCCGCAAGTGCCTTCAGCAACTTAGGCTGTGGTGGACATGACAGAGTCGGGACATTTTCGTCCCTGGCTACTGGGTCCCGGCCAGGGGTGTGGCTCAGCCCAGGCTGATCCCACCACTCCTGACTGGACCAGGAACGGCTGACTGATGCCACTGCAGTGCCAGGCTCTGCCCCACTCCAAGATGTCCTCCAGCCAGTGACACCCCCCATGGGACCCAATCTCCAGCACTCACCAGGAATCAATGTAGTTCTCCACCTTGGCTCCACTCCACGCTGTGCTGCATCCTCCTGCCAAGGGCCTGGACTCACCAACTCCTGTTATCGGCAGCCATGGCTTCAGCATGCTAACTGGTCTCAGGGAGTGTGCAGGGCTCCAGCCCTCCACTTGTGTTTTTCTTTCCTCTTCCTATTTTTCTTTTCACTTCAGTTTCCTCCTGGGTTCATGAGAGTCCCTCTCCATTCATCTGGCCCTCTCCATGTTGTCAAATTCCAGCGTCTGAGCTGTTTTTCCAGAGAGGCTCTCTACCTAGCGACCTAGCAAGCCGCCATCTTCTCTAATCTCCACACATGGCTTCTCTGTTACAGGCTGGCTCCACTTCCACCTACACCTTTCTGCAGCATAGGCTCTCACATTTCTGATATCGCCCACTTCCTGGGGTCTCCACTGTGCCACAGCTTTTATTCCCACAGCTTTCACGTCCCTCAGAGGCACATTACCTGGCCTCCAGGCCTCTCTGTGAACCTGGGCCGAAGCTGCCACGACTCTATAGCTCTTGTAATCTGTATGCAGAGAACAACAGCATCAGGTGGACGATGCGAAGTCTGCCACCAATGAGAGCAGTGACCAGGCCCCAGTGGACGCCGGCTATAGGGCCTGGACAGCTGAGCACAGTGACATAAATTTCAGGGGGCCTTCTACAGCAGAGGACTCGGGTATGTCTCTTCTTACATTTACACCCTTGAGCTTGCAATCAGTGGGGCTGTGCTGATTCCAAGAGCTCCATGTGGCCTTTTATTTCTTGTCCTGATGTGAAGTACTGAGATTCTTTTTAATGATACTAATCTCTTCAACACCTACACCTCCCTTGGTCCCAACTTTACATGTTTCTTTTAGGGGCTAAAATGCATGCATTTCAAATCTTCTTGCTCTGCTCTTTGCTCCCATTCTCAACATAAATACGGCTAAAAGCAGCCTTGCCACACCTGAGCACTGAACTGACTTGACATTTCCTTTGCCACAGCAATGAGTCTGCCTCCTTTAAATCCAGCCTCACACACAGTCTTAGGACCCAGGAAAGCACACACAGAATGTTTCCCTAGAATTCAACACCACGGCCTTGATTCAGTCTTCGTTCCCACCCGAAACCCAGGAGCCCAGGTCTTACTCTCACACTCCTGTCAGCACTGCGAGCCCCAAGCAGAATCACGTATCCTGCTCTGCTCCCAGCACCGCAGGCTTCCTCCAGCTTGATTCGCTATAAATTTCTCCCAACTATTCCCACAGATCGGTTAGTTCCAAAAGCTACTGAACCACATGGTCAGGTACAGGCACACCAATGACCTGCTTTGGGCACTTGCATTCTGTACTGGTTGGGTTTCCTGTCATTGGGGGAAAAGGCATGACCTACCACATACAGATGAAAAGGAGAGCCATGCGCAGCCCAAAGGCACCACCCCAAACCACTGCCTCCAAACAGCACGTGTGACCATGAGAACATTGGCTGACTTCAGTACAGGAGCCAGTGCCAGCATTTTAACCTTTAGTTGGTAAAAAATCGGCAAACCTTAATGCTTTTTAGCTTTATGCTATGATTTATTTGTGAATCAACAAATAGTTACTGAGCAACTACTATGTATCAGATATATTACAGGTTTACCTAGTTTTCAATCTATTATATCTGTAAGAAAATAATTTGTATTGTTTTTTTAACAAAACAATTGATGAATTTTTTTTTTTTAAAATACTACCAGTTACCTTCAGTTTGAAAAGCTTTAAAAAAATTAACACTACTTTAAATTTACATACATGGTCTTATCTGTTAACTCCTGATTCGGTAATTTCAGCATTACATTTTCACTAAGCACCACAAACCCTGAATGCTGCAGAAGTTAGCTACAGCCTTGGAAATGTAGAGGGAGAAAAGTTCTTTCCTATTAAGCTGAAATCACGTAACCGCTGAAATCCATTCAGGAAGATGAAGTTAAAATGTCATCACTAACCAGAATAAGATAAATAACTACAAAGATGACTTACTGAGACTGCTGAGCTGGCGAATGATGGCAGAAAGAGTCCCATTGGTCACACACTCCAGCTCGCTGCTGATCCCTTCGGGCAGAGCGCCCCGGCACAAGTGCCGGGGTTCTATATTCCTCTTCACCAAAGGCATGGCTGGCTCACAATCTAGAAGTGAAAGGTATTTTTTAAAACATCATATTGACATTTTAACAATCCAGAGTTTTAGTTTCCTTGAAGATCAACTCTTCCCCAGGAGTTTTCGTCATCCTATCATTTTATATGACACAATCAGCTAAAATGCAAAAAAGTTTCATTATTCCAATGAATTGCATAGCTTTCAGATGTACAACCAGTATAATCCTTTTAAAGAAAAAAGAAAGAATTAAAGAAAAAATTCAATAAAATTTTCTAGCTAAGCTCAAGAGAAGGAATACATGCATTTTTACCTCCTTTATCACTTACTAAAATGATGGCAGAAAGAAAAGGTTCAAAGTCCATAAGGACAACTACATTTTGATGCTGAACATCCTCTAATGACCCACTAGTTAAAGCTTTATGCCCGCCACACTGCTGTTGGGAAAGAGTAGAACCTTTAAAAGGCAGAGCCTGATAGGAGATGCTGAGGTCACTGGGGAGCTACTCTAAGGGGATTTGGAGGTTCTAGCCCCTCCTGGTGACAAAGGGAGTGGTCTTCTCTACCATGTGCTCCTGCTATGATGTTCTGTCGCATCAAAGACCCAGAGCATAGGGCCAACCAACCAAGGAGTACAATCTCCAAATGGGGAGCCAAATTAAACCTTTTTTTGTAAGCTGATTATTTCAAGGATTTTTTTTTTATAGTGACGAGAAGCAGACTAACCTAAATACAAAAAGCAGGATGTAGAAACAGCTACAAAACTTTAGAATGTAACCAGTTTATGAGACAGAAAAGGCCACACTCCAATTACACATGGTAAGTACTGCAGTCAGGGTCTGCAAGGAGAATAAGACAATATAGGACACACAATCTGCAGTGTTATTTATAATGGTCATCCAAGGAGTCAAATACAAAGGAAGTGCAGGAAATCTGTCCACAACACTAAAGACCTAGAGAATCCAGTCAGGAGCCTGGATCCCACATTAGTGTCCTGCAAAGTTTAGCCGAAGGCCTAGAGCCCATGACAAGGCCTCTCACGAGTCCAACTGGAGGTCTAGAGCTCGTGACAATGACTCACGCAAGTCTGTTTTACAGATCTGCACTAGGAAGGCCCAAAGGTCAACAGTGCAAGCTAGAAAGTCTCTGTCAGCAGGGTGAAGGATTTGTGCCAGTAGGATGAGGGTTCTGCACACTCGAAATAAGGACCCAGAACTCCCCTGAGAAGTACTACAGCCATTCTCAGAGGTCCTGAGACCTCTGACAATGAGAACAGCTGAGTCCACATCAGCAAGCCAGTGTGACAAGTCTTCTCCTGGAGACTGAACAGCACGCATCTTCCCTTCCAAGAGCCAGAAAGCCAGGTTCAAAGTAAGGACCACGTTCAAAGTAAGCTCCCCCAAAGTGAATCACAGTAATTCTCAGGGACAGGGTCCCGAGTTCCTCTGATAACAACAACTGAGTTCATAATAGAGCAGCCAGCATGATAAGCTCCTCCAGGAGAGCCAACAGCTCCTAATGAACCAACAGTTCCAAATAACAAACAGCTCCAAATAATGACACTCATTGAGGAGAACCCACAGTGCTTCTCTTCCTCTCCAGGTCTCCTTTTTATGCTGGCAACCATCCTCAGGTGGACCATCTACATTGTGGGTACCATACTGATTCAGTTCAGCTGGTGTTTTACAGTTACCACCAGTTTTTAATCCACCTCAGCTCCAGAAAGCACACCCCCCTGTCCCCCCAACACACACACTCTCCCAACCAGAGGCTCAGGAATAGGAAGAAACAGACATCTCTGAAACAAGAATGGAACAAAAGGAAAACAGGAGCAACGGCTTTTAAAATTCACTTAAGAATCCCTTCTCCAGCCTGGGCCTCCCCTCCCCCGCTCACCTAGCATGCTTTATTTTATAATTAAGGGAGATCAAAGAATCTGCATCTGGGGCACTAAACAGCCTAGTGGAGGGGAAGGAAATGCACTGAAAACACAGGCATTAAACCCATAACTGTACAGACTGCCTTTACTCCTCTACCCAGAGACTAGAACTTTTTCCTGGGAAATGATTAAAAAGACTTAGGAATACTGACACTGGGGAGGGGACGTGGGAGGAGCCTCTCTACAGAAACTGCCACCCCATTCATCCTACAGTAACACCTGTCAATGATCCCAAGCACACAATATGTAAGCAGCTTTTAATGCCTTGAATTTAAGTAAGAAGAGATATCGTGCCAGGAAGGACTTTCCCAATATCACAGTATTCCTTTTCCTCTCTCTCCTCAAAAAGTATTATAAATTGAAATTAAATCAAATAACAACTTTCTGTTTAAGGAGGTTTACAGAGTTTCAAACCTACTACTCACACAGCAAACCCACTCCTGGTACAACCCAGAAAATGTGATTGATAAGCTTACCCCACTGCCAAACCTGCAGGAAGAGAAACATAGAAAAGTCCAATACCTGGAGGCCCTTTTCTGGCAGTAAACCAGCCCCCAAAAGGCAGTTTGAAATCGCTGTTGTGTGGATAAATGATATCCTGTTTGTAGTTTCCTTTTGGTTGCCTGAGGCGTAACAATCGCACCCAGTGTCATCACTGAATGTGAGGTACACTGCACTTAGGGAAGATGGGAAGCACTGAAGTCTCTGCTTTTCTTCTTCCTTTCTCGCTAACCTTTGGTGCACTCGCCCACAAGTGACTTACTGAGGACCTGTGACATGCCCAGCAGTGTGCCAAGGTGACAACGACGCAAAGGTAGGTGAAGATGGCCAGGGCTGCTCCCACACTGGACCTGTACGAGGAAGAGGGACAGCACACAGGCCGCCACGCGCCCACTGTGCCTGGTCCTCCTGTAAGGCCTGCGTCTCTGAAACTCTGTGGGAGGAGGTGCTGACCCACCTCAGGTGACATAGGCCATGCTCCCACAGATGTGAGTGTTAAACTGAATCTAGGAGTGAACAACAGCTGGCTCACAAGAGGGCTCTGGCACAGTGGATGCGGCAACTGAAACGGAGGATGAAACGGAGGACTGAAACGGGTACCAAGGAAAGGTTCTAGCGGATCCCCATGTTTATCTGCTATTGCTGCCTGACACCCACGACAGCGGTGTTCCACACACTGGCCACATCTCCCACGCACACACGCACACTGGAAAGTGCCTTGTGGCACCTGGCTGCACCCTCCGTGCCTGCACCTTCCGTGCCTGCACCTGCCGAGCTTCAGCCCCCACCTTCTGTAACAGGACAACGGCACCTCCCACTGGGAAGGGAGGAAGAACCTGCCTCTCTCCCTTGGAAAGAGAACTCTTTCCTTTGTTTTTTCCCCAGAATGAGAATTTAATCAGCTACTGTATCTACAAATCACTTACAGCAGGGCCTGAGGCAGAGTAACACTCGGACAGGACACTGAATGACGGTGGTGGTCATAGTATACTGATTGCTACTACACTAACTGCTCTGATTATAGTAAGGAGGGTCTGTGGTTAAGGGTAAAAACCCGAGAAACAGGAAATATCACATAAAACTCATTAAAGAAAGAGGTAAACAGCCTAGGAAGGAAGGCTAAAACATGAAAACTCTGAATACCAAGTTCTCTAAGCAAAAGTGAGAAATTTTATTTTGGGCTATCACTTTCTAAGAACATCATTCAGAGTGACAGGGTGGCAACTTACTACACTAAGCTCCCCCTTACCAACATTCCGGCTGCAAACTCTCCTAGGTGTGCTGAGTGAGACTCACTTTGTCAGATACAAGTGAGTCTGCCTTATAAGTGTTCTCCTGGAACAGAACCTGTTTGTAAATTTGGGACTTACTGTAAGATAAACTAGAAAAATAGAATTCCTTATAAAAGAAATAAAGAAAATTAGTAAGCTTTAAGAAAAAAGTGTAGAAAAGAAAAGCACTGAAAACTGGTCACCGGGAACCATTTCATGAGAATTTGTAAGGAAATCAAGCAACAACAACAAAGTAAATCTACAAAGCAGCACAGAGGAACCAACAGGAGAAGCAGGTGAGTGCCAAGAGCTCTACTAACCCCACCATGACACAAGCCTGAACCTTAACAGTTTGCTTCGAGGGTGACCCCGAGCATCTATCACCTAATTTTTCAAAAGAAGTCTTCCAGAGCTCAGGATCAGCATACTCAGGAGCCCTTAGCTTTACTCACCAAGATAGAATACCTGGAGCAGCACCTGAAAGGAGGAAAGGCTGATGTGGGCTCATGATTTCACAGAGCACGTGTTGAGGCAAAGCATCATGGCGGAAGAACTTGGCAGGGAACACTGCTCAGCTGAGGGTGGCTGGGGGTAAGGGCAGAGGGAGAGGAGGGGCTGCGGTCTCCCTACACCTTCAGTGGTGACCTCAAGGACCTAGCGTCCTCCGGCCTGTCCCTGTACCTCCTCCTAGCACCATGGACTGGGGTGCAGGTCTTCAAAACCTGGGCTTTAGGGGCTGGGAATTTAGCTCAGCGGCAAAAGAGCCTGCCTTGCAAGCAGGCAGTCGTGAGTTTGATCCCTGGTACCGATAAAAATGAAAAAAGACAAAAAAAAAAAAAAAAAACCCTGGGCTTTGGATTTTGAAGATTTAAACCAGAGCAGGAGCAAGATGCTGGCTACATGCACCACAGCCTCCTCTTCTGCATTCCGTATTTACTTAGGATTAGACACCTGCTCTCTTCTCCTATTTTCAGACCTCTAATATGCAAGAATCGTGTGAGCACGGGAACTCCCAGGCGCTACTCATTTATTTGGGCTACAACTGTTCAAATACACAGACCTCTAATCTCTCGAAACTGATGGCATAACGATGTGTCTACAACATATCCAGATGAGTTAAATACTTTCTCATTTTTTCCGGAGCTGAGTGGCTCTCAAATAGCAAATACATTTGCCACTTCAGTACATCTAGGGGCTTGCTCAGGCTGTCTCCCACCTAAGAATGTCTGTTCCTGTCATTCATCTCTACAAGTCTGCATGTCATATTGCTGCACCTCAAACCTGCCAAAGTGCCAAAGAACCTTCAGTTCTGCACTTGAGA